ATTGACAAATATGATCTAATTAAACTAAAGAGCTTCTGCACAGGAAAAGAAACTAGCATCAGAGTCAACAGGCAACCTACAGAATGGGAGAAAAATTTTACAATCTACCCATTTGACAAAGGCCTAATATCCATAATCTACAAGAAACTTAAACAAATTTACAAGAAAAAAAACAAACAACCCCATCAAAAGTGGCCAAAGATATGAACAGACACTTCTCAAAGGAAGACATTTCTGTGGTCAACAAACACAAGAAAAAAAGTTCAACATCATTGGTCATTAGAGAAATGCAAATCAAAACCGCAATGAGATATCATCTCATGTTATCCAGCCTGGTGATCATTAAAAAGTCAGAAAACAGATTGGGCGTGGTGGCTCATGTCTTAATCATAGCACTCTGGGAGGCCAAGGTGGGTAGATCTTGAGGTCAGGAAATCCTGACTAACACCCTGGCTAACACGATAAAACCCCATCTCCACTAAAAATACAAAAAATTAGATGGGCGTGGTGGCACACACCTGTAGTTCCAGCTACATGGGAAGCTGAGGCAGAAGAATTGCTTGAACCCAAGAGGCAGCAGTTGCAGTGAGATGAGATGGTACCACTGCACTCTAGCCTGGGCAATGCAGCAAGCCTGTTTCAAAAAAAGTCAGATGCTGGTGAGGCTGTGGAGAAATAGGAAGACTTTTACACCATTGGTGGGAGTATAAATTAGTTCAACCATTGTGGAAGACAGTGTGGTGATTTCTCAAGGTTCTAGAACCAGAAATACCATTTGACCCAGCAATCCCATTACTGAGTTTATACCCAAAGGATTATAAATCATTCTACTATAAAGATACACATACAAGTATGTTTATTGCAGCACTATTCATAATAGCAAAGACTTGGAACCAACCCAAATGCCCATTAAGATAGACTGGATAAAGAAAATGTGGTACATATACACCATGGAATACTATTCAGCCATAAAAAAGAATGAGATCGTGTCAATTTCAGGTACATGGATGAAGCTGGAAGCCATCATTCTCAGCAAACTAACACAGGAACAGAAAACTAAATACCTCTTTTTCTCATTCATAAGTGGGAGTTGAATAATGAGAACACATGGACACAAGGAGGGAAACGTCACACACCTGGGTCTCTTGGGAGGTATGGGGATGGGGCGGGGGTTGAGGTGGAGAGCATTAGGACAAATAACTAATGCATGTGGGCCTTAAAAACTAGATGACAGGTTGATAGGTACAGCAAACCACCAGGGCACATGTATACATATGTAACAAACCTGCACATTCAACACACAAATTCCAGAACTTAAAATTTTAAAAAAATAACAATACTGTGCTGTGCACATTGGTATAATGTGTAGTTATGAAATGTTAGCTAAGCTATTATTATTACTAATGAAGTCAAGGCCAGGCTTTATTATTTTAATTTAATTACAGCTGCCACGGATCTTGTCTACTGGATTCTGTTTGAACACAGTGAGCATCTCCCTTTGCCCAGCCTCTTCTGCCTTAGGGTCAGTACCACCAGACTTTTGACTGTAAAGTGACCCAAAGCCAGTGTTATGGCTTCTATCTTAGCCTTCTGTTGCTGTCTTAATTCTTGGGGTTTGCATTGCTTCCGTAAGCAATGTCCCCTTGGAATTGCAGTCCTCTAAAAAAAAGAGAAGAGCTTGACCTCTGAACACTTATGAGGATTTGGGCACTGTCTTTGCTATCCAGCCCTCTATCTTGGTCTGTGGGTTCTGCCTGTGAGATCAGTCTGAGAGCAGCTCCTCCAACTCTCACCTTCTTCTCTTTCAATAGCCTGAGTCATTGCCTACATAACTCCTCTATTCCTCAAGGCAAAGAGTGCTCCAACTCTTTTCTGAAAGGGGATGAATAACTATTTCAGTCTATGAGAGTCATATGGTCTCTGTAACAACTGTTCAACTCTTCCATTGTCGTACAAACATAGCCATAGAGAATACATAAATTACCAGGCATAACTGTATTTGAATTTTTTTTTTTACAAAAATAAAATTTATGTAGGATCTGTGGGCTTAGTTTATGGAGCCCTGTTAAGGATCTTCCCCTTTCAGCTTACTTTATTCTTGTGAGACTCCGCAATCTCAGGACCATTGTGTCAATGGTATGACATGGGCCAAAAGTAGGGCAAAAATAAATTTATTTCCCCTTTTAATCTTTTTTTTAAAAAACACATTTTTGAGTTGACACTTAGAATGTATCTCAACCTAGTTTTTCTCCATTCTCTACTAATAAGTGACTCAAGTCTCTGCTCCCAGGATTAGGATCTATAAGCAACATAACCAGAAGCTGTCACTGATGGTTAGGGACACCCTGGAGGGAGTGCACTACACACTTGTAGTATTGTCTTAAGCTAGCGTTCCCTATCTGGAAGCAGGTGGAGTTTCAGGCTTCTCATCATTGTAAAAATAATGCAATCACCATCTCTAATTTGAAAAGGCTCTCAGAAATCAAACCTTAAATATGCTGTTGGTAATTCACAAAGAGAGAAGCAGGTCTCAACTGAGAAAAAGGAATTACTAACCTCTGGGGTTGCTTTTAAGAGTTAATGACAGAGCTGAGAACTGCTCCTCTTGTAATCTGAGGCCAATCCTCCTATTGAATTTCTGCTTTGGTCTCATGAATGCTTTGGTCTCTTGAAGCCAGCCTGATCAAAGACCATGCTGTATTGCTTAATCCCTTCTCTCTCTTGTGCGTATTCATTTACTTCCTCTCAGCTGAATTGTTTTTAAACACACCTGGGAGTTCTCCCAATTAACACAAAAGCAAAAATAAACGAATCTTCCTTCTTACCCTCTTCCCCATACCTTCTGTCTCCTCTTTGGTTGTCTATAATAATAGTCAGCATTCATGCCACTTACCTCTCTATCATTTTCTAACCTCATCTTTCCACAAAATCAGCTTGTTAAAGTAACCAATAACATGCAGATTGTTAAATTCAATGAGCATTTTTTCTCTTCTCAGTTTGATTCTGAAAAACCTTTGATATTGTTGACCTCTCTTTCTGAAAACATTCTATTAAGTTGGTGCAAAACTAATTACAGTTTTTGCCATTGAAAGTCATGGCAAAACCCATAGTCACTTTTGCATCAACTGAATACTTCCTGAGTTTCCTTAACAAACCTCTTCCTGCATATTTTTTTCCTTTCTCTTGCCGACCACTCACACTGTGCATTTCAGTGCTACATTTTCTCATCTTTACTACCTGAGCGTCATGACGTTCTTACATCATGCTAACCACTAGGCAAATACTAGAATAAAATCTAAATTAATAAATGAAATGCTATAATTTTGATGTACCAAGGATGTAGGGTGCACTGGTCTCAGCCCCTCTTCCTTCCTGCATTCTAGTTCTTAAAAAAAAAATAGAGTCTTGTGTTTGAATTCTGAGTATGTAGTCTTTTTTTACCATGATAGCAAATACCCACATCAGTGAAGCCCAATGGAAACTTTGTATTCACTTAATCTTTAATTGACTCTCCTAAAGCTTAAATTCCACTCTGTCCATATGGCCCTCTCCTCTCTGACAGATCTCTTGGGGCCAGTTCCAAATTATTTATCTCCCCCCCTCTTATCTTGACTTTATGACATCTGTCAGTTGAAGAATAATTTTACATTATAAGACTTTTATGATAGCAAATCATACTAATGGCTCCAATTGATTCAAGTACTCGCAGGACAGGTTTCATAAGAGAGTAAGACTCTCATTAAACCATTAATACTACAGGTAAAGGGGCCCAAGGCCCCAGAATATGGGCTGTGTGATGGGTGGTATGATGGAAAAGGCAGGCAAGTTCAGATATACCAGCAAAAATAAATCTAGAAACATGATTCTTAAATTAATTGAAGTAAATCCCAGGTAAGGAAAAAATGTTATGCTACCAAATATTTCTACTCTATTATTTTTGCCTAAGACTCTTTTGAGTCTGCCCTGAGAGCCACCGTCCAATCTTAACCTTGAGAATACTGACCATTTTTCTCCAGGGATACAATTTTGGCCTTCATTTCAGCATAATGGAATGTCTGATAATTTCATGTCTTTGGTTCTCTGCTGTGTTGTTTGAAAATTAACCATGGATCAAGAGTTATAAAATAGAAAAGAAAAACAACTAGACAGTATTAGTGAGACCTATAACAACACTCCAACCAGATGGTAGCATTTAAGATAGATGGCAAATGCCAATTCTGAGGCAATCCTGTAAGAATCTTGTGTTTCCCATTGGAGAATAATGAAGTTTTCATATAATTTGCAGCTTTAACATTGCAAATCCAACTCTTGGGAGAAAATTGGGTGAATCACAAGTGACCATTGCTTAAATTTCACATGAGTAGTAAATATGTTGGCTGTGTTGGTATTATTCAAAACTCAGAGCCACAAAATACATTTTCATACCATTTTATTTGTAGAAGAATGACACAATTATTTTCAGAATAATTAACTCCTCAGTTTAGTGACAATTATGTTCCATTATAATAATTAAAATCATACCCTACTATTTGGATGAACTCAATAGAATAATGATTTCTTAGGGGAAGATTTAATCGGATCATTATTTTTTTATCCAGCATTAAAAATATCTGTAAATTATTTCAATTTATTGTACTACTGCTTAATTTTGAATTTTCTAGCTGTCCTATGGAAAGAAATATCACAAGAAAGATGGCAGTCCCAATCTACCCTTGAACGACCTGTGCATAATAATTGTGGCTGGAGGGATGCCAGGGCTTGGTAAAATGCAGAACTGATGGCTTGGCATAACAGCATGGCTGCAGCTGGTGGGAGCACCTGAAGTCAGGTGGGTAGGAGCAGGAGGTGAGCAGAATAGTGGTATTTCAGAGGAATTGTCCATTGAAGGAAGAACCCTGGTAAATGTATGGGTAAATATCAAATGCTCTCCTGTGGATGAATTTGGTCAGAGCTTGGAAGGGAATTACGGCCCTTGGCAAATGGATTGGAATTCAAGAGACCACTTCTGCTTGAAGGAGAAACTGAAGTGGAAAGTGCTAGACCAATAAAAGAGGGGTAGGGAAGAGCTAAGCTCTTTTGAACACTGCAGTGTTCTAGTTTACCCTGAAGCACATCAGACATGGAAATGATAGCAGTGAGATTATCAACCCTACTTAGGTAGACTCTATATTGGTAGGTACTACTGTAGCTACAGCTATGTCGTAGCTTGAATTATTTAATATACTGGATGTAGAAAGTGGGAAATGACTATTCAGATTCACTCAGGAAGGCGTTGGAGGTCTTAAAAAGAAAAGCCTACACGCCCACAATCCAGCACTTTGGGAGGCCAAGGTGGGTGGATCACCTGAGGTCAGGAGTTCGAGACCAGCCTGGCCAACATGATGAAAATCTGTCTCTACTAAAAATACAAAAGTTTTCTGGGCATGGTGGGGGGTGCCTAAAATCCCAACTACCCAGGAGGCTGAGGCAGGAGAATTGGTTGAACTTGGGAGGTGGAGGTTGCTGTGAGCTGAGATCATACCACTGCAATCCAGCCTGGGTGACAGGAGACTCTACCTTGGGGGGTGGGGGGGCAGGGCAGGAGTGAGGTGGGGAGGCTAAACCCAAGGTTTTCAGGCAAGAGAGTAAGAAGCAATAAACCCCGAAGTACACTTATTTTTTAGAGAAGGATAGGCTGCTGGCGGCCCCCTGTGCATGCCCTCTCAGTGTGAATGACTTAAGACTAAGAGGTAATTTGTAAACCAAATGGTCAGAGCCCATTAGACTGAAAGATCTACAGAAGCAGAAACTAAGCACTTAACATCTGCTACATAGTAGGGGTTTTATACAGAGTTGCTGAATAAAAATGAATTGATTAATAAAAGACTGCTTGTGAATTCTGTCATTTGCAGAGTTCCCAGACTCTGTAGATATGGCCGTGGAGTCAGGGATCATGGTCTTTTGGGTGGTTCCTTATTATTTCCTGATTCTGTTTCTAACCACATTCATTGTGTTATAGTGAATGCATACCTCATGAAGCTAAAACTTAGCAGCCCCTAAAGGGACAGGGAAACATTCTGAATCCTGGGAGAACATAATTGCTTCAAAGACAGAACAAGAACAAAGTGTAAAAGAACAGCGTGGGCAAAGTTTCTAAGCAGGGCTAGAGTTGAGCTGGGAACTAGGGTAAAACAGGTATCACTGTAAGAATTTCTATTTATGACATAAAAGAACCTGAGAGGATAAACAGGTATCTTTCTTGAGAACACCCAGGTGTCATGGACCCGATTTCTTGACTCTGAGTTGGTACAACTGAACTCACTTAACAGAGGGACTTGATAGTAACGTGACCTAGGATAGAAGAGATTCTTGATCTTATATTCTGTAGAAGCTATGTAGTCTTCTGGCTCAGTGCTGGGATGAGATGACTAGGATTTTATTTGGTTTTTGACTTTCACAATTTAGAGAGTCAGGACTGACAATATCTAGGGAGTAATCTGGTTGTTAGAAGGAAGTTTATTCTGCAAAATAATAGGGATCAGAATCCCCCTGATAAAGTTTGGATATCTGTCTCCACCCAAGTCTTACATTGACATGTAATTTTCAAGTTTAGAGGTGGGGCCTGGAAGGAAGTGTTTGGGTCATGGGGGCAGATCCCTTGTGTCTTACTGGCATCCTCACGGTAGTGCTTTCTCGTGGCAGCGAGTTCCTGTGACATCTGGTTGTTTAAAACGATGTGGCACCTGCCCCACACTCTCTTGCTCCTCCTTTTGCCAATTCCCCTTCTGCCGTAAGTACAAGCTCCTGAGGCTCTCTCAGAAGAAGCCATGCAGATGCCAGTGCCATGCTGGTATAGCCTGTGGGGCCATGTGCCAGTTAACCCACTTTTCACTATAAATTATCCAATCTCAAGTATTTGTTTATAGCAATGCAAGAACGGCCTAACATACCGCTAAGGTCATTGAGGCAAAGCCTCACTCACTAATGTGGAGTCTAGTAAGATACTCTAAGGACACATTGGCAAATCCTCTGCAGGTTGTTTAGAATTGGCATCACCTACGTCCCACATTTTAAAATCATAAAATCAAGCCAAGTATGTCTGCATTTTTTTTAAAGTCATTCACCCGATATCCTTATTTGCTCTGAACTAAACTCTCAATTCTTTCCACCACACTGACCCCAAATGTTTATTTCTGCACCTACTACTGTGTCTACGTTAGGATCCTTTTCTTGGTGATTACTTGGCCTAACTCTGATATTTGAGTCTTTGGCTTCCTGTAATATCGTTAACACCCCTTTCCTCCAATCATTGTATTGATTATGTGAAACGAATGCTAGAATTTTGTCTTTCCCATTGCACAACATTTTACAGAGTGACATGACACTTTACTATAAGCTTGAGGACGTGAAGTTTGCCTTCTCATCATTATATTCCCAGCCTCGGCACAGCAATTGTCCATTAGTACCTATTGGTTGAATAAATGAATGAACAAGTACACATCTTCCTAAAATTTTCAGTTCTGAGAGTTTATAAAAAGTGAGCTTTATAAAATGAAGGCAGAGATAGTTTTTGAAAGGCTCCACATCTACTTGGCATCATTATTCTGTAGTGTGGCATGTTTCTTGCCCTTGAATATTCCCTTTGGTATACTGGGGAAACTGGCTATCTAGCTAGCATATAGCTGAGGCCGTGGTAAAGATTTACACAGGGTGCTGTGAGAAGATGGGAGACAATCATGCGATCCTTTAAGGTCACGATGAGGAATTCATGCTTAATAAGAGTTTGAAATATTAAACAATAAAGCAGATAGAGGAGAGTGGAGAGTCATCTCTGGGAAGGTTGGGTAAGGAAAGGTATAGCATCTTACTACCAGAGGGTGATTACAAAAAAGACAAGAAATATGACATAGGGTAGTTGCCTACAATCCAGTGCTCCTGGGGCATCAAATTTCAGGCAGAGAAAGAACTGAATGAGTTTGAGGGGTAGAAGAGACCAGATCAAAGAGGGCTTTTATATTTTGACATAGATTTTAAGTTCTATTCTGTGGACAGTTGGGAATGGCATGGATAATTTGCAATTTAGAAAACTCTGCGGTAAGCCGAGATCGTGCCATTGCACTCCACCCTGGGTAACATGAGTGAAACTCCATCTCAAAAAAAAAAAAAAAAAAAAGAAAACTCTGGAAGATAAGCAAAGGATTAATGAGGCTGGCAAATCTCAAGGAAGGGAAACTAGTTAGAAAAATACAGCAGTAGTTTGCAGGAGAGAAATATGAGAACCTGAGCAAGGTAAAAAATAGATGTGAAAATAAAGTGTCTAAACTTGGTGCTTGAATGGCTAGAGGTCTGAAAGTTATACTGGAGTCAAGAATAGTTTCCAGGTTATTAATTAGGCAGCACAGTTGGAGGGTTGTGACACTAATTGAAACAGAGACTGCAAGAGGAGAAAAGTGAGGAATTCTGTTCTGAATAATGTGTCTGCAGAACATCCACATGAACATGTCTGCTCTGCAATGGACTGTAAGAATTTGAAGTTTGAAGAAAAAAGACTGACAATGTCAGTTTGGAAATCGTTAGCATACAGGCAGTTAAAACCATGAGAACGTATGAGTTCTTTCAGTGCCTAGAAAAGAGCATAGAACTGAACACTGAATTGGAGTAAATAACATTTGAGTAGTAAGCAGAGAAACAGACATCTATAAATGTAACCAATAAATATCAGATTTGCCTTAGGGGATGACATAGTATTTGCCCATATGTAGTTCCCTACCACCCTCCAAATTCTATAACACACTATAATCTGGCATCTTGTACTCAATAAACTTTTTTTTTAATTATACTTTTTATTTAGAGATAATTGCTGATTCACATGTGGTTGTATGAAATAATACAAAAAGATCCTATGTGTCATTTACCAAGTTTTCCTTAATAGCAAAATCTTACAAACTCTAACACAACCAGGATATTAGCATTGATAATAGTCAAGATACAGAACATTTCCTTTACTAGAGTGTTCTCGTGTTGTTTTCTTGTTTTTAGCCAAACCAGTTTCCCTTTCACTATCAACTCCTCTATAACTCCAAGCAAGTACCAATACATTCTCCATTGCTCTAATTTTGTCATTTCATGAATGTTATACACAAATAGAATCTTATAGGATGGGGCATTTTGGGATTAGGTACACAACATAATCTCTAGAGATTCAGGTTGTTAGAGGTATGGAAAGTTTGTTCCTTTGTATTATTTGAGTAGTATTCCATGCTACGGATATTACAGTCCGTTTTACCTTTCACCAGTGTGAGACTTTCATTTCTATGCTTTTTTCCCACCACAATTAGGAATAAATCTCATATAAATATTGTGTGAACACAGTTTTTTATTTCTCTGGAACAAATGGTTAAGATACAGTTTCTGGGTTGTATAGTAGTTTCATATTTATTTTTTTTTTAAGAGACAATCAAGGTGTTTTTAAGAGCTACATTTTCCTCAGCAATGTGTGATCCAATTTCTGTGAATCCTTGCTAGCATTTTACATTGTCACTATTGCTTTTTCTGGCCATTCTGATTGATGTGTAGAGACATCTCATTGTGGTTTTAACTCACATTTCCCTAGTGGTTAATGATGAACCTATTTTCATGTGTTTATTAACCATCTGTAAATCCAGTGGAGTGGAATGTATCCTCATGTCTTTTGCTCAGTTGTGTAATGAGATTATTTTTGACTGTTGTGATTTGAGTTACATAGTCTTGCTCTTCGTTGTTTACTAGGTGGCTTGTAAGTAGTTTCTCTTATGTTAGCTTATCTTTTTCAACAAGACCTTTTCCTCACCACAAAAGTAATGAAGGTAATGAGCTAATGAAGACCATCTGATTTATTTTTCTTATTATGGATCATTCTTTTGCGCAAAGTTTGTAAATTCTTTATCTAATCCTGTATCGTGGAAATTTCCTGGTTTCTTTTCTTAAAAGTTATATAGCTTTAACTTTTACATTTAAGTGCATGATTCACTTTGTTAATTTTTATGAATTTAGTGCAAATTATATATTTTTTGGG